ACATTTGAGAGGGTGGGCTATCCTCAACCGCCGGTGCAACTGTTGAACCTAACTTCCCACGAGGGTTTCGAAACAAGGTTATCAACTAAGAAGAAAATCAAAGAAGCTCTAAAGGACAAAGATATCGGCATAATTGGGATCTATGGCATGCCTGGAGTTGGTAAGACAACAATGGTAAAGGAAATAGCCAAAGAAGCCAAAGATGAGAAATTCTTTGAGGAGGTTGCATTTGCAGTTGTATCTAACGATCCAGACATAAACAAAATTCAAGATCAACTCGCTGATGTGCTTGGTCTAGAAATTAATGTAAACACAACTAGCGTGAGAGCTGGACTACTTCGTCGAAGGCTTGAAGGTAATGATGGCAAGAGCATTCTTGTAATATTAGACGATGTGTGGACAGAAATTGATTTGGGAACTATAGGAATTCCATCTCCACGTGATCGCAAAGGGTTGAAAATTATGTTTACAACACGAATTGAAGAAACGTGTAGTAAAATGGAAGCCAAAGCATTCAAAATCGAAGTTTTGAGTGAAGTAGAAGGATGGCAACTTTTCACGGATAAGGCAGGGATTTCTGATGATGAAACTGATGTCGAACTCGTAAGCTTAGCCAAAGAAGTTGCAAAGGAATGTGGACGTCTACCTCTTGCATTAGAGGTTGTTGGCAGTACACTAAAAGGCAAAAAGACCGTATATGAATGGAAAGATGCACTTCGACGGCTAAAGAAGTCTAGTGCTACCAATATTGTGGACAAAAGTATAAGATTGAGCTATGACTATTTGGCAAATAATGAAGAGCAGAACTTGCTTTTGCTCTGTTCTCTATTCGCTGAAGATGAAAGTATTCCAATTGAAAATTTGGTTAGATATGCAAGGGGGTTAGAGTTGTTTGAAGAAACCGAGACACTCTGCGAAACTCGAGACCGAGCAAAGACAATTGCGGATAAACTAAAAGGTTGGAATTTATTGCAACCCGGTACGAGGAAAGACGAAGTGAAATTGCATGATGTTATCAGAAGTTTTTGCTTAAAGATGGCAAAGAAAGAAAAAGGTGGATATCTGGTGAATCATGCTGGTTTGAAAGAGTGGCCAGAACACGATGCTGATGAATCGTGGAGTGCCATCTCAATTACATTTGATAAGCTAGATCAGCTTCCAAGCGGGTTGAAATATCGGAACATTAAGTTGTTACGGGTGATATGTCGCAAGTTGGGAGAATGTAAAATTTCCGAAGAATTTTTCAAAGATATGAAAGATCTCAGAGTTCTTGAATTGAAAGGGATGTACATTCAAATTCCATCATCAATCCAATTATTGACGGGTCTTCGAACTCTGAGGTTGATTCGCTGTGAAATACATTCCCAATTGTCAATGATTGGGAGTCTAAAGAAGTTGGAAATTCTCTCTTTCCGTGGTTCTTCTTCCAATGATTATTTATCCATTGAGTTAGCGAATCTTTGCAACCTAAGGTCACTTGATTTGAGGTTTCATAGGTCATCCTGTCCACTTCGACCTGGTGTTTTGTCGGGTATGAAGAAACTGGAAGAGCTGTACTTGGGAGGTAGCATTCCAATAGAAGGTGAAGACACCACGATATTGAGTGATTTAGATGAAAATGGTTTCATTAACTTGAAGACACTGTTTCTAGCAAGTGAGGATTTCGAGTATCTTATTGATGCCACCAACTCTATTCCAAATGGCACCTTCGGTAAATTGGAGTCTCCCGAATTGGATAATTTACCCAAGTTAATAGAGATA